AATCCATCCCCATAAAAGGAATTACCCATTAATTTCTCTTTTAATGCTTAAAAGTTTACAAAAACTTTTATTCCCAATCAACTTGGACATATCATCAAAAGAATTATACATTTCATCTATCATCAGTGTTTTCCTTTTTTTAATTCTTTAAATCTTATTTATTTACTTTGTACCCAAATCTAAGCATTAGTCCTTCTGTTTCACTTTCACTAGCCCAAAACTGTAGCATCTTGACATTTAATCCCTTAATTAGTTCCTAAATGGTCTTAAAAATTGTCTAAACATATTGGATCTTGTAAAATATTTAAAAGGCTAGTAAAACTAATCAAAGACTTGTACACTCTGATTTACCACATAAAATGACAAATCCATTTCTATAAATTGTCAGTATTTGGGTGAGTGTTTGGGGGAATCAGGAGGTAAGTCACTAATTTCCTAGGCTTATTAAAGGCATTTAATTGTATGAAGCAGACAGATAAAAGCAACCTGCAACAAACATACAAGGGTATTTCAAAAAGTTCATGGAAAAATGGAATTAAAAGATAATATGATCTTTCCATGAACTTTTTGAAGTACTCTCATATATAAGGAAGACCCATTAAGCGCCAAAGTGATTTGGAATATTGTTTTCTAAAGTCCCATGGCAAGGGCCAGGCCATCGCTCACTTGGGAGAGCCTGGTGCTGGCAACACCAAGTCAAGGGTTATGATCCCCTTACCGGTCATCTTTTTAATTAATAAACAAACAAACAAATAAACAAAGTCCCACAACAGTGACAGGTTCCTGTGGGGGAAGCTGCTTGGCAACTGTAATTCTTATTCACCAATAGGTAATTTAATATAAAGCCTTCCAGGTTATGCAGTGTGTCATCCATTACATTGTTTGTTCTTATTGGTTACAGCATTCTGAGGACAGTAAGAGTAGGTGGTTACTTAAGACAATAACAAATTGATAGGAAAAAATAGAATACAAAGTTATACTTAAATGAGTCACTTTCTCCCTTTTTCTCTTCCCCCCACATCCTCCAAAGCAAAAGCAAACGCATTTTATTCCCTTCTCCTTCCCACCAAGTATCAGAAGATATTCAACCACCCTCCAGCTCCCAAAAGCCACACAGAGAAATAAAAACATTAAACTAAGAGAGCTCAAAGAACTAGGCAGCAAGAGTATCTGGGTAGAAAAGGACAGCTTCATGGAAAGAACAGTTATACTGCATGAAGGAAGGGTAGAACAGAAAAGACACAGTCTGTGGAAAGGAGGGGCTCCAATATAACCATTTATTTATAATATAAATTGCTTAGACAGAAATATTAGTCAGAACAAAAGCAAATTACTAAAGAAAATTGCTTCCAAACCAAGCCAGCTACTAGAACACATTATTAATAGATATAAGCCAGCCTTGGGCACTAAAATTTTTTCCTCTTTTCCCTCCACTGCAGAAAAACATTACTCACGCAGTGAATATTATTCCAAAAACCAGGAGCAAAAGACATTGAAATTTAATACTCAAAAATGCTGCAATTTTTAATTTTAATAATAAAAAAATAGCCTATTTTGCTTGGAAATCTGACTACATTAATAACATAAGGAAATTAGCAAGTGTTTCACTTTTTTTTTTTTTTTTTTTTTAAAAAGATGACCGGTAAGGGGATCTTAACCCTCGACTTGG